CTCCCCAGCCACTGCGGGGGCAGCTGCGAGGCACCCGCTTCGGGGAGCAGCTTGGGGAGGAGCCTGGGGCCACCAGGGTGCTGGGGTCAGGGAGAAGGCCGGGAGGGAGAGAGGGACCACCTCACTAACTGGGGCAAGACACGCCCGAGGCAGACACCGGGCCCTCCCCCCACATTCTCCACCACGCTCTAGGCCACCAGCGGGGGCCCATCACCAGCCGCAGACACCACGGAAACAGGCTCTGGGAGCCCGCAGACCCGGTGGGCCCCGGGGACGGAGGAGCCCGGAACACCGCCGAGGAAGCGCCGAGGCCACAGCAGGACCACCACGCGCACAGCAAGGTGGCTCGTCCGCCCCAGGACCGTGACGGGGCCCCCAGCACCGGAGCCCCGGGCTCGGGGGACGGTGGAACGGACTCAGAGACGAGAGCACGGCCCCGTGAAAGAGCGGGGAGACGGACCAACGTTCGTGCACGGGCCTCGTCCCTGCCTGTGTGTGTGCATGCATGTGTGCGTGCGTGTGTGCGCGCGCGTGCGTGCATGTGTGTCTGTGCGTGTGTGCGCACGTGTGCATGTGTATGCATGTGTATGCATGTGTGCGTGTGTGTGTGCGTGCACGTGTGTGCCGTGTGTGCGTGCGTGTGTGCTCACGTGTGTGCGTGCATGTGTGTGTCCGTGCGTGTGTGTGTGTGCGCGTGTGCATGCATGTGTGTGCGTGCATGGGTGTGCGTGTGTGCGTGCGTGTGCATGCATGTGTGCGTGCGTGTGTGCGTGTGTGTCCGTGCGTGTGTATGTCCGTGCGTGTGTGTCCGTGCGTGCATGGGTGTGCGTGTGTGCGTGCACGTGTGCGTGTGTGTGTGCATATGCGTGTGGATGCGCAGACGGACGAAGAGTCTGCTGGATGCAGGGAGGGCAATAAAACCACAACAGCACATCACGGGCCCAGATGAGCACACAGACGAGCGTTTCTGGGAAAAACAAAACCGAAACCACGTACTGTCTTCGTATCCAGAAACGACACACCTTTTTTTAATCGAATGGTTTTAAACTGTCCGTATTACAGACCCCACAATAGCTACGTGACAAACAGCCCGTGCCCGCCAAGGCCCGAGGGCATCAGCGATGCTCTCGCCGGGAGCTGGGTGGCGGGTCCAGGGGCTTCGCTCTTGTTATTTATGCCCTGAGTGTGTTATACTTTTTTGTGTGTGTTTACCACGTAGTTTAAAAACATTTTTAAGCAATGCATCCTGTGTCCGAAATTTAAAAAAACAAACAAAAACTCCTCAGTCCAGTGAAACATCTAGGTCCTCAGAGTCAGGGGGCCTCTGACATCGACATCTGTCCAGGTGGCACTGGAAACCCGGGCGGATAGTCCCGCCTTGGGGCCTCCGCCAACGGGCAAGCAGCATCTCCCACAGACAGCGCCAGGGCGAAGCTCCGCCTGGAGCCCGACCCCTCAGGGCCAGGCATGACCCCAAGCACCCCACTCTCAGGCGGGCTGCTTCGCCCTTGTGAGCCTCTCATTCCTGGCTGCTGGCCCCTGTACCCCAGGGACGTCCAGAAAGGGCAGCTCTTACGCTCGTCCCCACCCAGACTGGAATCTGGTCCCCTTCACAAGTCTCTCCGCCCGTGATCGGTGGCCCAGAGCCAGCAACGACCAGTCCCCACCGGCCACGCGCCCCGTCCGTGTGTCGAGGAAGAGACGCCAGGCCTGGGGGGCCCGGGATCCGAGCAGGACAAGAACCGGCTGGAGGGATTCGTTCCAAGAGGCCTGTGGCCCCCCAGCGGGCAGGTCCCCCGGCCCCGGCCCCCCACTGCAAACACGCACCAGCTGCCTCGCTCACAGCAATGCCTCCCCAGCTCCGACGTGTGGAGGGTGCACTGAGTGGGCGAGGATCTGTGGAAGGACCGATCTGCTGATCTGGTCACCTAAACCGAAAGGGACTTCGCAGCCATCGGTCACAGCCCTGCGAGATTTCCTCGCTGTGAACCGCCAGGCTCTCCCGTCCACCCTCCCCCGCCCCCTCCCCCTGCACCCAGCCGCCACCAACAGGCGACTCGGCCACACACTGAACGCCCACGACGAAGACTCCGGTGGAGGGTGTCCGCTGAGAGCCGCTGGCCGTGACCGGGCGCGGGGGCAGACGGGGCCCGGAGCGCCCGCTTACCTGATCCCTTTGTTCTGGGCCACATTGTGCAGGGACAGTCTGGACACCGCAGAGATGACCTGCAGGAGACAACAGAGACGCTTCTGTGATGCCGGGAAGACTAGCAAAGTGTTTCGGCGACGCAGAGAGCTGTTCGCGGAGCGCGTTTCTCCTTGGGGACAAAAAGCCACAGCCGAACACTTCCTGGGCCAGGCTCCTACTTCGTGTTTCGTGTGCTGCGTGAAATGTGTCACTTCGGCGCTCTGACCCTTGCAGAGGCTGCTGGGGCAAGCGGTCCCAGCTGCGGCCCCGCCCGACACTTGTCAACAGGAAGGTCTGAGATGCTCAGCGGTGAGCAGCAGCCGCTGCATACTCTGCCGCCCGCCCCAGCCCCCTGTCCCGTCCGGCCTCCTCCAGACACAGGACCCGCCCGGGTCCCAGCCTCTACACCCCAGCACGGTTATCCCGCACGCCCTCAAAACTACAGGCAGCAAGCGGGCACGAGGCGCCACAGACGATGGGGACGCTGAGGCCGGGCGTAGGAAGCGGCTGACCCCGAGCAGAGCGTGTGACACTCGCAAACATGACGAGACTGCCCGCGACTCGTCACAGGATGCGCGGGGCGCGGGGCATGCCAGACGCCACACGCCGAGGAGGCAGGTGCAGGCCTCGACTGTGGGGCTTGTGCGAGCATGCGTGAGCTCACGTGTGTGTGTGTGTGTGTGTGAGCGCGTGCGCACTACTGTGTGCTCGAGTGTGCGAGCTTGTGTGTCATGCAAGTGTGCGTGTGTGTGTGCGTGCATCTGAGGAAAGATCTATGATGGCCACTTGCTAAATTCACAGACACCCCCTGCTGGGTGCTGGCTGCCCCAGGAACTCGGCCTGATGGCCTTCCCCGTGCCTCGCCCTGGGGCGCCCTCATGCCCCCCCCGAGGCCAGTCCTGCCATGCGCAGTCCTGCCATGCGTATTTGGGAGACAGACACACTGAGGCCACGTCGCTTCCCCAAAGCCCTCCAGCTGGGACATTCCTCACACTTCCTCTTAGGCTGTTCTCCTCCTAGTAGCCATTTTTAAAGAGACTGGGGTAAAGACCCAAACCATGCAGAAGGGCCCTTTCTCGGCTTGGCACGATGGCACGTTCGGCCAACGAGCCGTGGGCTACGTGCTGCCATCCAGTGGGTGCTTACACTCCAGGGGCTGGGACTCAGGACACTGTGAGCCCGAGGATGACAGGGCTCCCTGTGATTCCTCAGACCAGACTCGACTCCGGCCGGGCTCCCAGGCTCAGTGCCATTAGGGGCCTCGGCTGTTGTTCATGGCTTTTGAGAGCTCTAAGTATTCACGGAGGACAAACATAAAAGCCTCACGGCTGGGTGTCCTTCCAGCTATTTGGCAGAAGCTAGAAACGTGAGCACTGGAAGGGTTTGGCAACTATAGGGCACACAAGCCACCCCTCTACGTGGCAGACACTCTCGTCCCCGACCGGCCAGACGCAGGCTGCGAACCTTCCGTCGGAGTCCGCCCAGGGCACGAGCGGTCGGTCAGCGTCGCCCGGGAGACAAAACCCGTTTCCCGCCCTGAGTAGGCACCGAGGCGGAGCTTCGTGCAGGAGCTTCGCAGACGGCGGAGCTAATGCGGGGAGACGGTCCCCGGCGAGCCCGTGCGCCCGGGGTCCCAGCACACAGGACGGCTCGTCCAGCTGCCATGATCACGGCAGCCTCAGCCCCGCGTGCACGGCGGCTGTGCCCCAGGCTGGCATCGGACACCAGTGGTTTGTGAAGGGCTCAGGTCCGGGTCCCTGTCACCAGACAGGGCAGCGCCTCACACGGGGTTAGACGTGGCCAGCTCTGCTAGAGGCGGCCGGCCCTCGCGCCACCGAGGCTGCGTGCTTCCTGGCCGGCAGCTGCGGGAACCACGGGGAACCCCACTCCAGGTACCGGGGACAGAGCAGGGACTGCCGGGGGCAGACACGGAACCCCTGAGGCAGCCCTGGGGGGAGCTGCGGGGCGGCGGTGGTCCCTAGGGAAAGGACAGGCAGCACAGCGCATCTCCCTGCAGCGGAGCAAACCCCCGGGCCAGGCCCCACGCCCCACGCCCCACGGAGGGGCCCCACGCTTCCCCACAGGCCTCACTCGGAGACGATCGAAGCCCCCTCCCGACCCTGCTGAAAACGCAAATGTCAAAGGATGACATTTTCTCAACTTTTATCCCCACGTCTCATCTGCGTCCCAGTTAACGGAGGAAATGAAGTCGCACACACCTGCTGTCCCTTCCCATCCCTGCCCCGCCCCCCCGCACCCGGCTCAGGCCTCTGCGCCCAGCGACGCGCCTGCCGCTCC